GTCTAGTGAGTGAATTGAAATAGGGAATAGAGAAGGTGGATTGGAAGAATAATTTGAGGAAATAATTTTCTTTGGAAAAAAGTAACAAACAGAAATAGATTAAAATGTTAACAGTGGTTAACTCTGGAGATAAGGCTATGAAGAAGAAATCTTCATTATTCTGAGATTTCCAATTTTTCTAGTGTGAGCACATAACCAACTGCTATTGAATCAGTTCTTACCATGGCGATCACATGTGTGTTAGAATAGAACTGTACTCCATAGAATTTTCAATGGTTGATTTTTTTTTTTTTGTATATGTGCTGCCAAAACGAGCACTGATTTTTTTTTTCTGCAAGTAGAACAACAGGCCTTACTTCTGAGCACCTCCAGGAAGACTTGAATAGCCAACCTTTCAGTTAGCAGACAAGCACATTAATCGTCTGTACTACTTCGGGTTCCAAGGAAGCACATACTGCTTTTATAATAAATAGGGGAAAACAGTCTTCAAAATTACCGTTTTAATCAAACATATGAGCAAATGCTCAGGTCGTTCGCCATCAAAGAGATGAAAATCAAAAGGTAGACACAACCCAAATGCTCATCAATAGAAGAATAAATGAACAATAAAATACATACATACAACAGAATACTATTCAGCCAATAGAAGAAACGAAGTCTTCATTCATGATACAGGATGGATGAAATCTGAAGACATTATGCTAAGTGAAATATGCTAATCACAAAGGACAGGCATTGTATGGCCTTATTTATATAAAAAGATAAATGGTTGATGGGTTTAAACAGCTTATTTGGGGGTTAGCAGCCCAATACATGAAGGAACCCTGGTATCACAGTAGTCTAACTTTGGGCAGCTGACTGCAAGGTCAACAGTACAAAATCACCAGCTGCTCCTCTGAGAAAGACAGGGCTTTCCATTTCCATGCCCATAAAGAATTACAGTCTCGGAAACTCAGGGGCAGTTCTACCCTGTCCTGGAGGGTCACTGTGAGTTGGCATCGACCTGGTGACCATGAGTTTGGTTATGGAGCCCAATGCCTAAACCTAAAGTGCCACCAAGGCTCCTTAACTGGTAAATAAACATTTCCATCGAGTAAATGCTGACTCATGGTGACTCCCTGTGGGTTTCCCAGACAGTAACTATTTACCGGAGTAGAGAGCCCAGTCTTTCTCCCTCAGAGCTGCTGGTGGTTTTGAACTGCTGACCATCGGATTGCAGCTCAATGCATAACCACTATGCTACCAGGGCTCCATAGCAAATGATAAATAGCAAAACCCAAATGAATTAAAAGTAGCCAAAGTTTATAATGTGATTAATAAATACTATTAATAGGTCCCAAACCAAAACCTCATTGCTGTCATGTTGACTCTTAACTCGTAGCCTCCTTATAGGACGGAGTAGAACTGCCCCATTGTGTTTCTAAGGCTGTACATTTTTACAGAAGCAGACTGCTACCTCCTGCAGAGTGGCTGGTGGGTTCAAATCACCCATCTTTGGTTAGCAACCAAGTGCTTTAAATCTGTGCCACCAGGGCTCTTGACTAGGTCTCAGGCTCATATTTTGAAAGTTACCTAGGATGAAGTAGAGAGTGTGAGACAAAGAATTGCAAATGATGGTTGAAAATCATGATACAAAATTCAGGCTCCCTTATCACCATTTGAAATGAAAATATAGCTTCTCAATATTCAGTAGGTCAGTAAAATATGTAGGGTGCTTGGGATCTGAGGGTGAAAAAAAACACTGTCCTATAGGAAGGTTAAATACCAATGGTCTTGTGTCTTAAATAGATGCTCATTATTGGCATGTGGGGGCCCATAGTCTGAGGAACATTCCCATATTGGCACCCTTTGGGTCCTTAGAAGAATGATAAAAGGGTTCTCGGTAGTCTTTTCTAATATAATCACAGCTGGCAGCAAGATTTGTCTTGGTGTGTTGGCCAGTAATAGCTGAAAGGTAGCTTGGAGCATGTGCTCTTCTTGTGGCCAATCAAATCAAACCATCTTATTTCCAGAGAGTGAACAGAAAAGTAGACTAATATAATAGGCCAATATGAGAAACGTTAGCCATAGTTTTCCTGCATTCTCTGCTTGCCACTCTAAGGGGTTGGCAATTCAAGTCCTGGCTCAAACATTACCTCCCCTCTGAAGGGAAAAGTAATCACTTCTCTTTTAAACCCCCATGACCCTTCTTTTTACTTTTGTCGTTCTATATGTAGCTGTCATCTCTACTTTAGTTCGGTCCTGGGAGGCAAAGGTCTTCTTTGTATCTTCTGTAGTGCTTTGTAGCAGTAAATGCTTAATAAATCATTGCTGAATGACTAAACCCCCAGCTCTAAATGACTTAGAATTTTTTCTACTTGATTGGTTCAGGTCTAAGGCATAGGAGCTGAAACTTGGAGATTGAAGTCTGAGTGGGAATCATTTTCCCAACAATATCCAGGGATTCAGCCTCTTGCTAAGTTTTCCTGTGCAGTGTGATGGAGAAAGGATTCATTATCCTGAAGCCCTCTTCCAGTTTCATTCTTCTCTAGAACTCTTATTTCCTGACCATGTCTCTCTGTGTATTAATTACCTATTAATATAATAAGAAATCACTCCAAAACAAGCTCATTTATTAGCTCTCATGATTCCTGTGGGACAGGGATTTGGGAGCAAATTTGGTAGGGCATTTCTGGTCCAGGATCTGTCATGATGTTACAGTCAGATATATCTAGGGCTACAGTAATCTGAACTCTTGACTCAAGACTGGAAGGTCCAGATTGGTACTGACAAGTTGGTTGCTCTCTACATGGCCTCTCCAGAAGCAGCCTGAGTGTCTTTCCAAGGTCATAATTGGCTTCTCCCAGAGCTAATGACTAAAGATGCCAAAGCAGAAATTACAATGCCTCTTTTGACCTAGCATCAGAAATCACATATTGTTTCTTAGGCCTTATTCTATTGGCTACACAGACCATCCTGAGTCATCTGGGTAAGGAGTAACAGAAGAATATGATTATCAGGAGTCAAGGATGAGTGTGCTCATTGGAGACCTACCGTCTTGGAGATTGGCTATTTTTCCTCTGTTTTGATTCCTGAGATAAGGCTTGCTGCTTAACCTTGATCCTTCTCCTTCTTCATTCCCATTGCCATTCCTAATTCCAGGTCTCATCCTAGACTACAGCATCAATCTTTAATTCTTTTGTGTGTGTGTGGCTTTTAAACATTATTTTTCATTTTATTGGAGGCTCTAACCTTTCTTATTTTTTGGTTGTTTTATTTTATTAATCATTTTATTGGGGGGCTCTTAGAAATTTTATAACAATCCATCATTCAATTGTATTAAGCACACTTGTACATATGTTGTCATCAGCATTTCCAAAACATGTTCTTTCTACTTGAGCCCTTGGTATCAGCTCCTCTTTTTTTCCCCTACCTCACCTACCCTCCCACCCTCTTGAATACTTGATCAATTATGTATTATTATTATTATTTCGTATCTTACACTGTTCATTGTCTCCCTTTGCCCACATTTCTGTTATTCATCCCCCTCGGGGGAGGGGGCTATATATCCAACCTTGTGATGTGTTCCCCCTTTCTTACCCCCTACTATTCCTCTACCCTCATGCTATCTCTATACCCATTACTGTGCCTGAGGAGTTTATCTTCCCTGGATTCCATGTGTTGAGAGCTCTAATCTGTACCAATGTGTGTACTCCAGTCTAGCTGGATTTATAACTGGGTCATGGTCTTAGGGGGAAGGCAGCATTCGGGAACTAGAGGAATGATGTGTGTTTCATCGGTGTTATACTGCTCCCTGTTTGAATCATCCCTATCTAATAACTCTTCTGTGGGGGATATCCAATTGTCTACAGATGGGCTTTGGGTCTCCACTCCAACTCTCCTCATTCACATAGAAAGTTATTAGTTTTGGATCTTTTGATACCTGATATCTGGTTCCATGGATACCTCATGATCACACAGGCTGGTGTGCTTCTTCCAGTGGGCACATTTGCTTCCCTGCCAGATGGCTGCTTGTTTGACTTCAAGCAGCTAAGACCCCATATGCTAGATCTTTTGAAAGCCAGGCACCATCTGCTCCTTTCACCACATTTGCTTATGTACCCATTTTGTCTTCAGCGATCGTGTTAGGAAGGTGAGTATCAAAGAGTGCCAGGTTATTAGAACAAAGTGTTCATGTGTTAAGGGAGGCCTTAACACATCCGCTATTTAATACTTAACATATAAATATATGTACATTGATGCTCTGAACATTCTTGCTTATGAATCTTTAGTATCTAAAATGTACATTCCAGGAGGACAAAGATTATCGTATCAGCTATCTATTACTGCCAAACTATTACCACAAACATACCAATTTGAAGCAACACACAATTATTATCTCATATTTTCTGTGTTGTGTGTCTAGCTTGACTTGGCTGGGTCCTTTGTAAGGTTATAATCAAGGTACTAACCAAAGCTTCTCATCTGAGGTTCAACTGGGGAAGGATATTCTTCTACACTCATATGGCTGTTGGTAGTTTTCAGTTCCTTATAGATTATCAGACTGAAGGTTCCAGTTTCCTGCTACGTATCAACTGGAGGCTGCCCTCACTTCCTTGCCATGTGGCCCTCGCACAACATACCAACTTCTTCAAAACCAGCAGGGGAGAGTCTTCCTGCAAGACAAATATTAAAATCTTATGTAACATAATCATGTACAGGCACTAACATGCATTCTGTCATCTTTGCATTACTCTGTTGGTTAAAAGCAAGTCACAGGTCCTGCTCACGCTCAAGCAAGTACTGGCTAGGAGTGGGGGAAGCACACAGGGGTGTGAATACCAGGAGGCAAGGATCATGAAGGCCATTGTAGAGTCTGTCTCTGTTTTCACACCCTGAGCAGTGTTTGGCACATAATAAGTACTAATATTTGAATGAATGAATGAATGGGAGTAATGTGACTATTATGTTTCCAACTCCTAGCTTAAATCTTTTTCTTCACTTCCCTTTCTGTGTTTCAGAATTACTAATAGACTCTTGAGACTCTTCTCTCATCTGTCCATATGGATGAGCTTCAGGATGTTCAACTCACAGAGATCAAGCCACTTCTAAATGATAAGGTAACGAATACTCCGTTGTCACTAAAATGCATACAGTCTTTTCTTATGGTATTATATTATCTATTTTCTGTATTATTTGAATAATAATTTACACAAACATTTAGTTTGTTGTTCTCTGAGGCCCTACTTTCTCAAAAAAATCTCTTCTTTTTGGACATTTTTCCTCCCTTTTCTTTCTCCTACTTTTGTTTCAGTGGGAAAAATTCAATCACTACTCTTGAGATTTTTCTGCTTTACAAATAGAGATGTTCAGGGAAAAATTATATGGCAGTGTTGGGCAGCAAATATGAGGGTGGGGTTTGACAAAGAATCTAGATGTCTTGACTTTCAATTCTTACAAAGGAAGTAACATCTCTGGCTGGTGGTATATACTAGCTGCAACATTCTCCCTAAAGTTTGTTGAGTCTGTGATTGCTTGGATGTCATTCATGCACCCTAGTTTTATATTAGTGTTAGAAAACTACACAATGGGCAGTATAGTGTACAACCACTAGGACCCAGCAAATAAAGAGTGATGTGATAAGTTATCAAAAAGTTACGTAATACTTAGCTTTTTTCTGTTCTCTCTCTATTCAGCATATGTAACTGGGTTCCTTCTTCTGAACGATATTATTTTGCTTATGATTTGTCATTGTCCCATATTTTAAAAACTCTAGTAGCTTGGTATGATTAAGCTCATGGCAACTTTAAGGGAAATGTTGATGGACAGTAAGAGTAAAGATGGTTGAGATTGGGATGGGAGGGCTACAGTACCAGAAAATGCTGTCTGTTATCTTTTTCTACCCAAAGAAAGGCCTTTCATCTTTCACTTCTGGGGCCATTGATTTATTGTCTTTACTAATGGGATTTTGAGTTGTCATCCCTGTGATCTCTTTTGTCCCCAATCTCATCCCCTCCATGGTCTTTCACCAGGCTTTGTACTTTCTTCCTTGACAACTGAACATTTTTTAACCCCCCATTTGTTTTCTCCTGCTATTTCCCTTCATGTTTTCAGAAATCTCTTTTTCTTACTTTAACTATTATCTTTTTGTATATATGAAGTACTGTTCCTAAAATGATGATCCACAAAGAGAAGGAAGAAATAAAATCTTCATCTGTCAAGCTTACCTATAGCAACAGAAAAGAACAGTTACAAGGCAGAAAGAAGTTTAACTGCAGAAAGGTAGTGCTTATCCTAAACCAGGCTGATTGTTTAAACTACAGATTCTTGGGTCTCACTCTAGACTAACTAAATCAAAATCTCCAGAGTTGGAGCCCAGGAAAATTAAACACTTGCATACACACATCTATCTAAGAGCAATGGTCCTCAACTTTGGCTGGGGAGATTTAGTAATTACTAATGCTTGGGTCCTACCTCCAGACGTTCTCACTGAATTGTCTTGGGTTAAATTGAACAAGTTTTAAAGTTCTCAAGGTTGAGAACAGTATCTAAAGTGATTCTGATTTATGTTGGAAACCCTTGACCTAATGGGTTTCAGATATTTGAAGATTAAGTCACTAAAAGAAAGAGGAGGATAATCCTTTCTTAACCATGGAAGTCTACAGGATTTCTGAGGAGATACTTAGATGAAAGAGTGGCAGCCGGCCCCACTATGAGACCTATAGCCCTACAAGGTACAACACTGGATACACAGTGTAGGAATTCCGCCAGATATGATCCCACCACACCGAGGCAAAACACTAAGGGCGTGCAACAGAACAGCATGGGGATCAGAGCAACGAAGTCCCTAAGGAATACCAAAAATAGACTTTGGGCCAGGGCTTGGTGCCCCATCAGACTCGACCAGAAAACACTCCTAAAGGCCAACAAACAGCCCTTGAACTAACTACAAGTTCTTCTTTCTTGTTCTTGTGGGGGGTTGTTTTGTCATTGGCTTGTTGTTGTTTTATTTTGTTGCTTGGTTTTGCTCTGTCTTGTTTTTGTGCATGTTAATATCTCAGCAGTTCTGTCTAAATAAGATAGGCTGGATGAACAATCTGGAGGAGAAAACAACGGGACCGACAGTTGGGGGAGGGGGGACATGGGAAAGTGGGAGGTGGGGGAAAAGGAAGTGGTATTAACAAACCCAGGGACAGGGCAACAACAAGTGATCCAAATTGGTAGTGAGGACAGTGTAGGAGGCCGCCTAGTAGGGCGTGACCACCGGTAATGTAACCAAGAGGAATTGCTGAAACCCAAATGAAGACTGAGCATAATAGTGGGACAAGAGGAACGTCAAAAGAAAGAGAGGAAAGAGCTAGGAGGCAAAGGGCATTTATAGAAGTCAAATAAAGGCATGTACATATGTAAATATATTTATATATGAGGATGGGGAAATAGATCTATGTGCATATATTTATACATTTGGTATTAAGGTAGCAGATGGACATTAGGCCTCCTCTCAAGTACTCCCTCAATGGAAGAATACTTTGTTCTATTAAACTGGCATTCCATGATGCTCACCTTACTGACACAATCATAGAAGACAAAGTGGGTGCATAAACAAATGTGGTGAAGACAGCTGATGGTGCCCGGCTATCAAAAGATAAAGCGTCTGGTATCGGAAAGGCTTGAAGGTAAACAAGCATCCATCTAGCTGAGATGCAACAAAGCCCACATGGAAGAAGCACACCAGTCTGTGTGATCATGAGGTGTCGAAGGGATCAGGTATCAGGCATCAAAAAACAAAAAACCTTATCATTGTGAATTAGGGGGAGTGTGGAGTGGGGACCCAAAGCCCATCTGTAGGCAACTGAACATCCCTTACAGAAGGGTTGCTGGGAGAAGAGCCAGTCAGGGTGTTTATGTAACAACGATGAAACATACAACTTTCCTCTAGTTCCTAAATGCTTCCTCCCCTCCCCCACTATCATGATCCCAATTCTACCTTACAAATCCTGCTAGTCCAGAGGATGTACACTGGTACAGATAGGAACTGGAAACACAGGGAATCCCGGGCGGATGTTCCCTTCAGGACCAGTGGTGAGAATGGCAATACCGGCAGGGTGGAGGGAGGGTGGGGTGGAAAGGGTGAACTGAATACAAGGATCTACACATATAACCTCCTCCCTGGGGGACGGACAACAGAAAAATGGGTGAAGGGAGATGTTGGACAGTGTAAGATATGACAAAATAATGATTTATAAATTATTAAGGGTTCATGAGGGAGGGGGAGAAATGAGGAGCTGATGCCAGGGGCTTAGGTGGAGAGCAAATGTTAAGAGAATGATGAAGGCAATGAATGTACAAATGTGCTTTACACAATTGATATATGTATGGATTGTGATAAGAGTTGTCTGAGCCCTTAATAAAATGATTTAAAACAAAAAACAAAAAAAGAAAGAGTGGCAGCAGTTGACTGGCTGTCGCATAGAGAAGGCAAGATTGATGCGGTAGGTACAACCTTAGAAAGGCAGTGAATTTGCATTTGGAATCATGGTCGAGGTTCTGTTCTCTGAAGTCACAGTTAGGCCTTGGCTGTGTCTAGTGCATGCCTAGTCTCTCAGCAGCTCTGATGTGCTTGTGCTTACCACCCAGTTCCCACCTGCTTCTTTCTTTCCCTAAGCAATTCTCTATTCCACCCTCTTCATGCTCACTTCTCGGATGTAGGCAAGCTTTCAGAGGTGGATTGGTAAGACCACTTTCGATGGTGGCATTCTCTAACAAAGAATTTTATCTATGTTAGCCTCTCGCCCTTCCCAGTATGTGAATGCTGTTTTTGCCAGGAAGTGTTATTTTTGCATACTTATGAAAGCTATGATAATAATGCTTCTCTTTCACTGGGTCGTTCCAATAGCCTGGTGAAGTAGGGAGCACTAATAAGTTAATTTCCATATGCTGATGAGGAAATTAAGGCTAAAAAAGGTACAGTACTAAAGAATGCTTGCTATTGAGCATGGTTTCTCAACCCTCACTCTTGACATGAGGTTGGATCCATCTTCCTTGTGAGACTATCCTGTGTACTGACAGATGTCTAGCAGCATCCTTGCCCTCTACCCACTAGATGCTAGTAACACTTACCAGTTGTGGCAACCAAATAAGTCTTCAGACATTGCCATATGTCCTCTAGAAGGCAAAGTGACCTGGTTGAGAGCCACTACTATGGGGTGATGGATCACACTGATTGGAGTACGTCTTGAGGTTTGTTTTGTGTGCATGCATGCATCTGTGTGTGTGTGTGTGTGTGTGTGTTGCCTATCCTGCTGTTATTTATTTGTTGTTAGCAGATGCTATTGAGTGGCCCCGCAACCTATGGTGACCCATGCACAGTGTAATCCATGTGGTTTTCAGTGGCTGGTTTTTGAAGTGGGTTGCTGGGTATTTATTCCTAGTTTGTCTTAACTAAGAGCTCAGTGGAAAACTGTCAGGCACGGTAGCAACGCAAACCTCTGCTGACAGATGAATGGTTATCTGTGCTTAGGTGTATTGGCCAGGAATCAAACCGAGACTCCCTCATGGGAGGTGAAAATTCAACTGCTGGTACACCAATGTTCTTTACTAGTATTTATTGAGCACCATTTATGTACCAGGTGCTTTACATAATTATCTGTTTTAATTTTCAGTGCATCCTGTGAAATAGCATTTCTCATTTAACCAAAAAAATTTTTTTAAAGTTTGCCATTGAGTCAATTCCAACTCATAGGAACTGCTAGAGGGCAAAGGTGAACTATCCCATAGGGTTCAAGGCTATAACTCTTTGCAGGTGCAGTCAGTCACGTCTTTCTCGTACAGAGCAGCCAGGAGGTTTGAACGGTTGACCTTTTGGTTAGCAGTTGAGAGCTTTCAACCATTACACCAATTAGAATTCAGCAGTTGAAAAACTGAAGACTGACCGGCTGACTTGCCCAGTCAGTAAGTGACAGAATTAGAACCGAAAACCAGGTCTTTCTGATTCTAAAACCTGAGTCCTTCCCACTGTGTTGACCCTGTTGGCAGTGTGGTATCACCTCTAAAGGAGAAGCCTAGAGAGCTGTATCACTGCACGTCACCTTTTGTCCATTATTCTCATAAATGTGCTCTT